AATAATCGATTCTCTCAGTAGGACATTACAGGAGTTCAGCACAGTTCAGTCAGAGGGGTGTCATTCACCTGTCTGGGTGCTTCCGTTTGCACAAACTCAGTGTAGATTTGGTTTGCCCTGCTGATCATCTCTGGTGCGCTCGTGATCTTTTTGTATTCTTCACATGCCAGCCAGAACAGAATATTTTCCTCACTGTATTCCGACTTTAGGAAGTCCTGGAAAGCCATCTGTCCCGCTGCAGCATGACAGAGAGTTTATGAGAGTTATGAGAGTTTATTAGGACAAATAGTTAAGTGTTACTTCTCCGATTTAGATGTTGAAACTGAAATTTAAAAATGAATAATTGAACATAATTTAAGCAGCTACAATTCATATAAGATTGATACAATATTTAATACATCTTTATACAGCAATGAGATTGAGATGTATCCCTTCAACATGAACCACTGACTTCATTCAAACATAATTTGACTAGTGTTTACAAATGACAGAGTAACTCATTATTTTTTTTTTTTAACATTTGCATTATGCCATCGATCTCTAACGCCTGGCAAATCAACTGCGGGTAATCCATAAGTATCTTCTTATGCTTTCAATAGACAGTAAGCAAACTGTAATAAATCTACAAATTATTGTCTAAATATATTACCTGTATAAAGAATGTACTGAATATTTTTCTCAATAAATATGGCTATAATATATATATATATAGAGAGAGAGAGAGAGAGAATTATTTTTGTTCTGTTATTTAGATTTTTTTTTAGAATAATCGTTTAAAAACAAATGTGAATTCTTTTATTTATTTGTTTATTTTTGCTGATTTAAAACTTGACTATCTGATTTAAAACTTGATTATTTCCAGTATTAACAGAGACTATTCAGAGCTGAATTTTCTTACTTTTACAGGACAGAAGCTTCTCGATGGACTCACCCCAAGAGTCCACATCATCAATGGATTCCTGAGAAAAGCAACAAAATCTACCCTTGAAAATTACATGGAGATCCTTCACTGGTGAAGCTGATTATGATACAGATTTCAAATATATTTAACACAGAATCCCAGCATTTCAATCCAATTGCATTCTGCCAATAATATTCCTATAACTTTAAATCCTTAGAATCTGAAATTCCTTGTGACCAGTAAATCCAAGCATATTAGTCGTTAATATCATTTAAAAATAAGAATGCGGATGGAATCATTAATAATCAGGGACTCACTTTATGGCCATCTCTGACAGCAGCGTCCTCTGCATGGAGTCTCCTTCACTCTCTGATTCTGTGTGGCTCTGGAGGGTCTAAACACATTTACTGGCATGAATAGAACACATGGAAATCAGCATGCAAAGCTTTGGGCAGGGTCACCTCCTCAGTCTGTAAGGTCATGAAGAAAACATCTTCAGCGCAGAGGTGGTGGCCTGCTCATCAGTCAACTATTTAACTTTGCTTTATGACTTTTTGTGTTGTGAGATAATGCAAGTTAATGATCATATTTTGATATATGCTTTCCTGTGTAAATCTGTGAAAATATAATCAAAAATGTGACACACATTTAGTATATATAATGAAAATTATTTGATAAAAAATAAAAAAACAGCTGAGGCACTAATTACAAATAATAAATTGTGGAAATACATAAATTACATGAAGTATCTAGATGAGGCAAGGAAAATCCATGGCTGGAAATGCTGCTAAAATTCAAAGCATTGAAAAAAATCAGAAGCATGATTCAAAATACCACAGACGTAATAAAGGTTTGGAACGATATGGGGGCAAATGATGACACAATTTTCATTTTAAGGTGAACTATCCCTTTAAGGGCAATGATAATAGGTCAAAATCTTTGTTTTGTTGCATAATATGACATCGGATCCATTGATCCAATAAACTTAGCAAATTTGTAAACACAAGTTTTGCTAAAAAACGGACAGTAAATCAGTGGAAATTATATATATATATATATATATTAATGTTAAATGTTAAATAATATATTAAATAGTATATTTAAATTATATATAATATATTATATTATATATATTAAATAGTACATTTAAATATGCAAATAAAAATATTCTACATCTATAACTACATCTAAAATTAGTCAGGGGCAATAAGTACATTTTAATACTCAAGCTGGAAAATTTCATATTGATTTATTTCAATTTATTATGAAATTTATTTAGAATGAAATCAATAAATTAATTTTCATTTAATTATATAATATATGTGAAATAATTTGATGTTGTCACATTTGATACATATGAAATATTCTGATAAATAGTATACATTTATCAAATGTAATTAATATCATGAATATTTCACTTAATCATTGATTACTTTTTCACATAAGGTTATATGCTCAAATACTAAGTAGTGCTACTAACGCATATGTTTGAAACTGCTCACATTCAGCTGGTGCAGCCGGCCCCAGATCTGGTTGGTACCACAGCAACACCTGCCTGTGTGATGGTCCAGGTGGGTCTCCATTAGGTCATCACCACATTTATCCACAATATTGAAATTACAGAATGGAAATCCTGCCATAACCAAATAACATGTGGTTGAAATAGACCTAAATTTAAGCATTTGCCTATTATTTATGATCTAATCCTTTTAATGGTACCAGAATACCCGTCTATCTCCTGTTTAATTTTCCATCATTTCCCACAATCAAAGCTACAAAACTTAGCACATCTCAAATATCATATAACACACAGTAATACCAAAACGTATTTGGATGTTTGAGAAGCGCTTAGAAATGTCAGAAAGTAATTGCATTAGATACAAAACACCAAGGCATCTGCAAACAAATGATTCTGGAGCTTTTCTCAGAACTCAAGCCATTCTTGCAATGATTTGTAACAGACTGGTTTCAAGGTGATTTTAGTGGATGTACTGTATGACGTCAGTTCTCCTAACAGACTAACCAGAGGTGTACTTCATCACATTAACTATGAACGTGATCAACTTTTGACAAGCAAGCGTCACAATACATCTTCATTTTGAACAGTAGGTCTGTTGTTTACTTTCATTTAGTTTTGTATAATGCTTTAATGCTAAATAATGCAGAAGTGTGCTTGTTCTGCTTTTGACGTTTACTTTTTGTGTGTGTGTGTGTGGCTTACGTGTTCAACTACTTCTCCCATTCGATTTTGTGTGTTTCTGTCTAGTTCACTGGGTAATGAGTTGTGATTTTGAATACTGTGGGATGTGGGTTGCTACACCAAAGTTAAAGAGTCCCTTTTATTGGAAATTTGGAGTGAGGGCTTTGTGTGGCCAGTGGAAAAGTGGTATTTAAACTTCCTACCACAGGTTATGGTTTGATTTACAGGTAACACTAGATCTGAAGGTTGGGGAACAGATGAATATCCCTTTTTTCAACCTTGTTGACCACTTTTTCTAATTTTGGACATAACAAAGTACCACACCTGCAAATGAATCACCTATCTAACCTTTATCTGAATGTCATCACTGAAAAAAAAGAAAGAAAGGTTTCTACGTGCTCTCCATCTGTGCTCTCCTTTAGTGTTGTCTCAGTCTGTCAGTGGCCATGTAAATCTCCAGAAGCAATGGAAAATCCTCTGACGGATTTGCATGCATAATGACTTACACATGACCAGGATCATTTGGTTTCCAAAAAAGCTGGCAAGGGCGAGGACACACTCACATGTGTTGACTCCTGAAATCAAAGTTATTCATTCACTGTGACACACAAGAACACATACATTCAACTTGATTTGTCCCTTTGCTTTGTATTCAGTCTACTTTGTGTTCATCTACACTTCTGTTCATACTCTGATTCGTCCACAAAACTGAAAGAAGAGATGAGAGCACAGTTTCAGAAAACTGTAACAACTTTAATAATTCATATTTTCATATTTCCAGACTGGGTAGAATTGACTGTGATGCATCATTACGTTCACACTGGGCTGTGAAGTGACCACAGAGCTGAAAACAGTCTTGTTGTTCTTGAGACTGACTCATTTGTCTGTGTAATTTGCTTGTAGCACCTGTGCATGTGTGTGTCTGATGTCTGTGTGTTTTTTGTGTTCGACAGGGTCAGCAAGATCAGGCATTCCCTTTGTCAAGCTTGAAAACGAGACACTATATTTAGAATTCTCTTTGGGAGAATCCAGATAAAAAGCCTTCCATGAATCAAACTAGTGTAGACTGAAAAAGCTGGGTAGTAACATGAGGTAAAGTTGGGCTGGAATGATCCTGGAAAAGCATCCCAGAATCATAAAATATTCGGTCTGCCCATTTAGTCAGGTCTGTCAAGGACCCTGGGGGTAGCCATTTGTAATTCCTGATCAAACAAAAATGCATAAAAATGTGCAACTGATCATTTTCATAAGGAATAAGCTAAGCTAACAGGCTAGTTGGCTACAGCAGTGGTATTGCATAACTAATGGTATTGCTAGCTAAAATACAATGAAGGAGAAATGGGTAGCTTTGGTTCTATGCTATTATAACAATTATTATATAAACAACTATTGTATATAATTAGTATATACATCCTAAAGCAATTTTGTAGGATCAGATATTCTTTAAAATTCTTTCAGCCAATCAGATTGTTTTGAAGTAGTAGACATACTAGTTTCGACAGATGCACCAATTTCTTCATGACACCACTTCATGTCACTTCATGACATTCCTAAAAGCAATAATCATACCAAATTGACAAACACATACCATAGGTTTTAGTGATATTTTTTGTATGTACAGTGTATGTTTTTATTTAATTTAATTTAATTTTGTTTTATTTATTGATTTATTTAAATTTCTGATTGGTCATTTATTTTATTCAGTTTTTATATACTACCATTCAAAATGTGTGCGTTTTTTATTTTATTTTTATATTTATTACATTTACATTTAGTCATTTAGCAGACGCTTTTATCCAAAGCGACTTACAATTGAGGACAATAAAAGCAGTCAAAACTAACAAAAGAGCAACAATATATAAGTGCAAATGACAAGTCTCGGTTAGCCTAACGCAGTGTAGCAAGGTATGTATATATATATATATATATATACTATTATATGCTATAGTATATATTATACACACACACACACATACATATACACACACACGCACAAGAAAAACAGGTAGATAGAATAGAAAAAAATAGAAAGCTAGTGTTTTTTTTTTTAATAAAAAAGAAGATAAATAGAAAAAGTAGAATTAAAATAGAATAGAAAGTGCTAGAGTTAGAGGGTCAAATAAAGATGGAACAGATGTGTTTTTAGTCGTTTCTTGAAGATGGCTAAGGACTCAGCTGCTCGGATTGAGTTGGGCAGGTCATTCCACCAGGAGGGAACAGTTAAGGAAAAAGTCTGTGAAAGTGATTTTGGGCCTCTTTGAGATGGCACAATAATACGCCGTTCACTTGCAGAACGCTTGTGTCTCTTTGAGATGGCACAATAATGCGTCGTTCACTTGCAGAATGCAAGCTTCTAGAGGGCACTTAACTCTGAAGTAATGAATTTAGGTAAAGGGGTGCAGAGCCAGTGGTGGTTTTGTAGGCAAATATTAATGCCTTGAATTTTATGCGAGCAGCTATTGGTAGCCAGTACAAATTGAAGAACAAAGGTGTGACCTGCGTTCTTTTCGGCTCATTAAAGATTAATCGTGCAGCGGCATTTTGGATTAATTGTAGAGGTTTGATAGAACTGGCTGGAAGACCTGCCAAGAGAGCATTGCAATAGTATGTTGCGACTTGGACACCTCACCTCTCCAAGATACCTTGAAGGACCTTTAATACTTATATTAATACTTATATTCAGCAAGGATGCATTAAATTGGTCAAAAGTGACAGTAAAGACATTTATAATGTTATATCAAATTTCTATATCAAATAAAATATGTTATTTTGAACTTTCAATTCATCAAAGAATCCTGGAAAAAGTATTATATTACAAAAATATTAAGCAACAACAAACTGTTTTCAACATTGATAATAATAGAAAATGTTTCTTGATCTCCAAATCAGCATATTAGAAAGATCTCTGAAGGATCATGTGACACTGAATATTCAGCTTTGTCATCAAAATAGAAAACAGTTATCGTAAATTGTAATAAAATTTCACAGTATTACTGTTTTTACTGTATCAAATAAATGCAGCTTTGGTGAAACTAAGATACTTCTTTCAAAAACATTTGAAAATTGTACTGATCCCAAACTTTTGAATGATATATATATATATATATATATATATATAAATAATTTACTCACCCTCAAGTTGTTCCAAACCGGTTTGAATTT